ATTCTTTGAAGTGAAAAGTTTGAAAAATGACTTACGAAAAATCAGACCTAAGTCATTTTTCAGAAAATACAAAGAAAATTATGTTGACCAGTAAAATATTTTACGTTAACCAACCAATTTTTCTCCTATCAAATACTGAAAAATGAAGAAAATATTTTTTAAAAAATATTTTACGATAAACAAACAGACCCTTTATGTAATTCAAATGATCTCAACAAGAGATGAATTTTTATGTATTTATCAAAATATTACTTATGTGTCTGATAATAAAGCTATTAAGTTAGATTTTTTGTTTTAATTTATTATATATAATTAATTGAAGGAAGAGACAGTGTTCGATTTTGGACAAGAAGGATGATAATGGCACTTAACCGTTAAAATTATATATATATATATATATATATATATATATATATATATTTGAATCAAATCAAAATTTATGTATTATATTGTATATTAGATCTAACTTTATGTGTAAATTTAGTATTTATCTTTAAATTTTGTTGAATAATATTTTTTATTTTAAATGTAATATTTATAATTAAATTTTATTGAATAATAATTCATAAATGCATGTATATATCATATTATATATTTAAATAAAATTCATAGTTTTAAGATTTATTGCTAAAATTTTATTTCAAATTAAAACTTTTTATTAATTAATTGAAAAGGAAAAAGAAAGAACCCAGCTAGTTGGGCTCACTTCTGGTTATTTTGTGGTCTACCCATTATCTATAGTTTAGTGATGGCATTGGCAGTGAGATCTGTGAAGACTCTGATTCCAGGTTCCATCTTCTTAGCTGATTGTTGTCAGGCTCAACTACACTCCTTTCGCTGTCCCCTCTCCCCCGTACAGTAGAAGACAATTCAAAACTTCTGCAACAAAAATGGCGTCCACTAAAGCCGAAGGCCTAGTCAAGACCATCGATTCACATTTGCACGTATGGGCATCCCCTCAAGAGGTAAACAAACACCCCTTTTCCCTGTTCCACAGTTTCTTGGTTTACCAATTTTAGAGGATGGGCAAACAATAACTGAACACGCCTTTCCCTTTTTCATCCTTTTGTGTTTGTGTGTACAGGCTGCTGATAAATATCCTTACTTTCCTGGCCAAGAACCTACTTTGCCTGGACATTTGGATTTCTTGCTCCAGGTAAGATAACTATCCTTTTGCTTATTTAATCTCTGTGTCCTTGATTTTTTTTCTGTCTCTCCCATCAGTGTATGGAAGAAGCAAGTGTTGATGGTGCTCTCATCGTCCAGCCAATCAACCACAAGTTTGATCATTCATTGGTGACCAGGTCTGCTTCGAATTTTAGGATTATTTACTAATACTTACCGAGTTCTGATAATTTATTTAATTATTTTCTTCTCATTTTTTGAATTAAGCTATAAAGTCATGTGAAAGCATTGGTGTGAAGTGGATATATACGTAGTTACATGCCACTGAAAATTCTTTCAGATAGAGGGGTGAATCACACGATTGGGAGTTTTTAGCATTTAATTGCACTCTTTAGCTGAATCTATTCTAGGAATTGGTCCTTAGATCTTAGAAGAATGAATCAATGATACAATTGTCACCAAAGGTTCATGTGCTTGGCAATGTTCTTGTGCTATCTAGATGCTTGCACAAACCAGGAAAGTATTCCATGCCTAATATCGGTTTTATGAATGATTGATAGTGTCCTAAAGAAACACCCCACAAAATTTGTGGGTTGTTGCCTTGCGAATCCTGCAGAATATGGAACTGGGATTAAGCAGCTTGAAGATCTCATTTTGAAGGTTTTTGATTTATTTTGTTTTATTAGATAACTCTTTTTTTGTTATATCTTCTTGGGAAAACCATTCTTAGGATATGTTTTTTCATGCTAGGATGGTTATCGAGCTGTTCGCTTTAATCCTTATTTATGGCCTTCTGGCCAACAGGTATCAATCTCAAAATCATTTTCAGCTATTAGGCTGCAATATGTCTTCTACTTAGTTAATTAAAATCTATGCAGTGTTCATTAAAAACTCAATCTATATGTCTGATTTTAATTGAAATAACCGTTCTGTCTGTAAAATAAAAGCCAGGATGTCTTATTAACTGAGAAACAGAACATTTTCTGGATTAACTGAGAATTCTTTTTTACACCAAACCCCTCAAAGTATTTATTCCGAATATTGGGAAAGGTTAACCTGTAATATATGTTCATTGGTAGTGACACTTCAAGGGGATATTAGCCATGTGAAGTATGAACTAAATATTTATCATATAATAGACTTGTAAACTTCAGATATGAATCATATATTCTTACAAAGTAGTGGATTTTTACTTGAATTTTCTTTGATATGAATTATATATTCCTTATACTTTGCTTAACAATACCCAGATGACAAATGAAGTTGGGAAGGCAATGTTTTCTAGGGCAGGAGAGCTGGGAGTGCCAGTGGGTTTCATGTGCATGAAGGTGTTTCAGTTCCCGAGACTATCTTTAATCAACTAAAAAAGAAATGAAGAAGCTCTAGTAATTAATATTTTGTCAGAATGGGATATACGATCTTCTCTTTCTAAATGAAGGGTTTTCTACTCTGAAACTGGAATTAATACTATTTGATTTCCATAATCTATTTTATTCCAGTGACATAGTGCTATTCTGAATCTATATTTGGCTGATAAGGGTGACACCATCTTCACTTTATCAGGGTCTTAATCTTCATATTTCAGAGATTACGGAACTATGCACAGAATTTCCTTCAACAGCCGTTTTGCTTGATCATTTGGCTTTCTGCAGACCACCAATGTAGCATTTGTAAATAGTCTTTCTAGGGAGAAATGTTTCAATCTTTATCTAGGTAAAGACAATGTTTAATATTTAATATTCATTTCCTTGCAGAAATGACGAGGAAAAGCTTGCCTTCTCTGAGCTCTTAAAGCTGTCTAGATTCCCTCAGGTATAAAGAGCTATACATAACCACCATCTTTATCCGTTCAGAATGATGTCCCTTTTCCTTTTATTTTAGCAATTCCACCATCATCATAATGCAATGGCTATTGCAAAGATTTTTTAGTACACTGGTGGAGAGCATCAAGTTTCCTCAATTTCCAAAATGTGACCATGCAGTTTTTCAACTCCTTTTCCCTTAAAACTTTAGCTACAATTCTCATTTATTGTTTCTTACACTAATGGGAAAGCTATGATGAAAAGAAAGCATCCCTTCTTTCTTATAAGAAACGGCCATGTCCCCAGGGCCTTTTAGAATATCAGCAAAACTAAGTCAGATTATATTAAAAGAAATATGCACCAGTTTAGCTCCTCTGAGTTATGCTTCTTAACTTAAAATCTACTACAAGTCTTTTTAATCATCTATGCATGTATTTGGCAGATGAATGTTATTGCCTTTGGTATTTGATGTTTCTAGGAATTGACCTATGGTCACTACAACTAAAAGCCCTACACTCTACCAATAGATCATAAGGTTGTTAGTGACCCTAATTTAAAGTATGATTCACTGCGTTTTATTCAGATGTAATTTCAATTGTGCAGGTATATGTCAAATTCAGTGCTTTGTTCAGGGTTTCAAGAATGTCAACCCCGTATGAGGATTTAGTTCCACTTCTAGTTGAAGTTGTCTCAAACTTCGGAGCAAACCGTGTCATGTGGGGAAGGTAAATATCGGTCTAGCATCATTTTTTTCTTCAATTTTTTGTTCGTCTGAGTTTCAACCTAATGTTTAAACATTCAAAGGGTTCATGTTTGACACATACACACTAGCAGTGGAGTTTTATAACTCTACAATGGTTGGCTGACTGGAGTGGGGTATAGATAATGGAGGTTTTGAATGTATGATTGCAGCGATTTCCCATTTGTTGTTCCGGAAAGCGGCTACAAAGGAGCAAAAGAAGCAGCGAGTCATATCGCCAGTCAGGCATCTTTGTCATCTTCTGAGGTAGAATGGATCATGGGGAAGACAGTAATACAACTGTTTCAAGGTCAATGGCTTCCTTAGGCAGGCAAGCTGCAGCCTGCGCTCATCTCCAGTAACGAGTCTTCTCTCTGCTTGCCTAGTTAACCAGTTCATCTGACGTTCTATTAATCTATTATATGTTTAAATCACTAAGTATATTAGCCTACGCTCAAAAGCGTACATGCCCGTCGAGCTTCAGGGTTAAATATGTACTCTCTACTTTCTTATCTTTTGATGTCTCTCAAAATTTAAGTTTGGTTCCAAAATTGCTCAAATCTTGCTATGGATTGGCTATTCTATAATATATTTTGATATATAAATTTGGTTTCAAGGTTTAAATTAGTACGTATAGTTTTTCTTTTATCTAAATTATACTTAAATTTGATTTCTATAATATATTTTAATACTTAAATTTGTTTTTGTCACACATTTTGATACTTTGAATTTTATGCATGAAATTCAGATATTAATCTAGGGAAAAAAGTACCAGATGAGACGCAATATAATATGGACATCCAAAATGTTGTGTTAAATTTTTATGTAGATTATACAAAATAACATGAATATATATATATATATATTCATGTTATTTTTCAAATAAATGTGTATGTGTATGTGTATGTGTATGTGTATGTGTATGTGTATGTATATGTGTATGTGTATGTGTATGTGTATGTGTATGTGCATGTGCATGTGCATGTGCATGTGCATGTGCATGTGCATGTGCATGTGTATGTGTATTTGTTTTTTTTTCTTTTTATTGTTTTTACGACTGATTACTGGTCATTATCTGTAACATGTTCAAACATTTGTAATTAATCATTTAAAAACAATTTAAAATTTCTTTTTGGTAATTTTTACACCTCCTTCCCCGGGGCTTGACACCTTCCGTGGCCTCTCAGTTTTCCATGTACTCAAATCCCATGATCACATGGCCACAACAATCAAACATCTTAGTACATGGAGTAAAGCATATACAAGCCTTTTGCCTTTTACTGAAACATTCTCCTTCATGGCAGCATGTGCAATAAGTATTATTTGTCCGGTTGTTTTCACTTATGTTCAAGCAGGATCAGCTTGGTAAATCCCTTGTGTACTTGTCAAATACTATGTGGAATATGGCAATGTAGAATACTTTTTCCTCCATCTGGTTCTTCCTCGAACTATCTCTTCGTTTCGATTCTTCCCTTTGATTTGGAGGAGATGAGTATATCCGTACGTCTTCGTATCCAAGAGTCCTAAATATCCATTTCCTTCCACCATTCCAGAAGTCAAAACCATGTTTTTTAGTAGACTTTGTTCCACTCCATTTGTTTGAATTTCATCTTCATCTGGTTGGCAAAGTGATTGAACTCTATCCGAACTCCCACATTCCCTTCTATATTCTAATACAATACCAAACAGCTGATGAGACTCCAAAAATTTGTCAGGGATTGTCTGCATAAAAAGGAAACTAGTGATGATTTAAGGTCGACATCGGATTCGAGAGAGCTATATAGATCGATGGCGGATCTTTTTCATTTACCTCCTGCATCCATCTTACATACTTGACGTTATTCACATGGTGGTTCATGTCCAAATCACTCCTCCTTGGCTACAAGGTAAATAGGAGATTAGTTAGCCTGTGTTGTTTCAGCCACGTTATCTAGCTGTTGAAGGCTTAAAGCTTTACCTTTAAGTCAGAGTTGACGTATTTTGCGTTCTCGTCCAACTTGACGATCTTTTCGGGAATGCCTTCTTTGATTGCTTGCTTTTCTATAAACCAAGGAGAGATTTCATCTCTCACTTCCTCCGGCATCTTCGACAGTCGCCTCGTTTTCTCGTTCATCATAACCCAAGTGCTGTTTCATGCTTTTTTTATAATGTTCCTTGGGGAAATTAAGGATGAGTATACTAAAGGAAGGTATTCATAATATCATACCTAGTTGCACGTGCATAAGTGATGCCTGTGGCTTGACTCCGGACTAGCCAATCTCGCCGCATCCCGTTCTTCCCCGATGCTCCAACCCATGTGTCAAATTCCAATACCTCGCCCCTGCAATCAGCTGCAATTCTACTTAGCAGCTACTTAGATCATTAAGATGAGTCTATTTAGAGATGCAATGCAATAAGACTGACCATATTGGATAGTGATCCACTTGAACGTGCATTCTTGAGACAACCCATATGAGGTTGTTCCTCATCATTCCATGTGTGGCTCCAAATCCATTGCTTAGAAGTCCGGACATCCATACATGATTTAATGCTGTTTCCTACATAATAATGAATATTTGTCAATGTTACAAAGTTATCTTTGTGTATGTATGTATGATGAATTAAATGTTCCCAAGCTGTCATCACCTGGAAAAGATTTAGGAGGCTTTCCAAGGTAGCAGTTTTGTAAGGACCAACTTCGTACGACCGGACAACAACCGTCTGTCTATAACCAACTCCCCTTTCGGTGATGAGACCTTGACGGTAAGAATCAACTAGCTGCTTCTGTGTCGGGATTTTCTGTCGAATCTGCTCTTCGGCTATGTGCCGGTTTTCGGTGGTGGCAGCAAGAGGAGAGGAACCTTTTCCAGCTCCGGCGATTTCGTTCAACGTATGTAGCCTTGTAGAACTACTTGCATTGATTTTGATATCGACTCTGCTGCGATATCGGTTGCCATTACGAGAATATCTAAAGGGAAAAGAGACTGAACAGGAGAAAGCAGCTGCCATTGCTTTCTCTGGTCTAGTCTAGGTATGGAAAGTTTGAAACAGGGTAAGTACCATAGGAATTTTTTTATAGAGATTTCATGGCGGACATGTCCAAGGCAAGGCCCCTGAAGAGGACAATAACGAGGGAGCTTCGTTATAGTGATTTTCATTACAACAAAAATTAAATAAGCGATGCATCATAGGATGGATCGATGGAGGACAAATTGGAGAAAATTGTTGATTTGTTCTCGAGTACGCTTCTAGTTTGTTACGAGGGAGCAAATAATTCCAAGGAATGCTCTTAACCCATTATTGGTAAGTAGACAATAAACAAACAAGCGAGGGGAAATTTTGATTATGAGAGCAAGATACTCATTCTTGACCATTACCATATTTCATTTGTGATTTAGGGGTGAATATTCAATTAAGTCGAATTAAGTGGAAAAATATTAAGATAATCAAATTTATGAGTACTCATTTAACCTTTAAATTTTAATTGAAACGAATTGAATATATTTGTTCAAATTTTTATTTAAATTTAATTTATAGTTATTTATAATACTATGATACTGATTGATTTAAATTCAATTTAAATTACTCCTAACCATATATATATATATATATATAATATATTATATATAATTTACTAGTTTTTCTTAACCTCGAAACTCCTTGTGCCAAGGAATGACAACGCACAAATATTTTAATTCAGATAGATTTTACATTTTATAGTTTATATTCAAAATTCATAAATATTCTTTTTAACAATATCATTTTCAGACACTCGTAAATATGAGTAAGAGGAACAACTGGACTTTCGGGCAATTAATCCAAATATTGTTATCCATTAAAAAAAGTAAGAGCTAAAGAAGGTGAATGTTTTGATCGATTATAGACGGGAAACTGACAAGTAAGAAGGATTGCTCTAAATTACATTCATTTTACATAAGGCTTTAGGTTTGAGAGTAACCGTCCTGATACAACTGAGATATTCAAAATCTTTGGATAGTAGAGGAAGACGAGGAAAAAAAAGTTTGTTTTAAAGGAATGGCAACTGCCAAATCCCATTGCAACGGTCCATCAAAGTGGATAAACTGGAACCAACAATTCACAAATTGTGACAACCAGAGGAACCAAGCCTACATGCTTGGGTAGTGGATATGGTTGGCTCTGTATCAGAATGGTTTTGCTCCTAAACTAACATGGAAAGTAATAACAGCAACTTAACCCAAATATCAAAACTATTATAACAGATTTTCAACTGCTTCTACCATCCGGAAGGTCCCATTATTGACAGTGATAATATACTAGATAAATATAGTTGAAGAATCGGACTGTAGACCGAGATGATAGTCTTAATGCTCTATAACCTAAAGGGCAAACAAAAAAGTCACTTAGGCACCCAAGCCTGTGTTCTAATCAAAATGCAACTCAGCCCCCAAAATAGCTTAAGCACTTCTGCTGTCTTGTTCTAAGGTGCATGCACTGACAATGCTTCTAATCACTACGGTAGACCGACATAGGGACTGGATCCTTGTAATAGATGACTAGAAATATGATAGTCAATATAAACTAAATTTGAAACAGAAGAGGGGAAAACAGACTATTAGTATGGAAGATTCTTGTGGAATCAAAACCACCAACTACAAAAGGTCTAAAACAAGTTAAATCCCAAATAGCATGACCCAGAGCTGTGAAAAGACACTAAAACCAATTTATTTCCATGCAACCTATTAACAGAAACTCATCATGTTCCGTGGTTTCCTAGAATACTATTATAAAAGGTAATTCCATTTAAAACTCCAACCAATTTATTTCTTAGTATGTTTGCTCCTCAGCCCACCCCTACCAAACAATGTGAGTCAAAATATAAAAGCTAGGTAGAAACTTCTTATTAATGATTTACAACCAATTGAATTTTTTTTTTTGGGGGGGGGGACTATCAAAATTTGACAATGGCCATTACAATATTACAAAAAGAGCCCTCACCCCATCTCCGATCACACTTTTCCCATTTCTCAAAAATATTGAAAGAATGAAATAAATACATTTTATCAGAAATTTTATTTGAAACAACTTGACACAGTACTAAATTCATCTGTATACCTGTTGTTGACTTTTAGTGTGTAATATTATATCCAAGTACTGGTCCCAAGAACTCCCAAGAAGAGGATAACAAGGAGATCTGTATACTCAGCTGCCTGAGAAGATGTGGCTCTGCTCCAAATCCAACCTATAAACAGCATAAGTAAAATTGTTAAATTAATAATAACTCAATTTCCTCATGTTAATATTCAAGTTGACCTACTAGTAGGGGATCCATTGCTTGCAGACAATTTGCCTATAAAATCCTACAATAAGGAGAAGGTTCTTAACTGGTCTCCGCCTCCTTCGAATTTCTTTAAATTCAATGTTGATGGTGCGGTAAGAGGTGATGGGCTGCAGGGAGGTATTGGAGGAGTCTTGAAAGATTGCCTCCTTCGAATTTCTTTAAATTCAATGTTGATGGTGCGGTAAGAGGTGATGGGCTGCAGGGAGGTATTGGAGGAGTCTTGAAAGATTCGGATTGTTCTACTTTATATACTTTTTTTTTTGCGGTGGGACCTGGTCCTCTATGTTAGCTGAGCTAAAAGCTATTAAAAGGGATTGATCTATTCATTCTTCCGAATGGGCTCTGAAGGGAAGACTAATCCTTGAGACAGATTGTAAAACAGCAGTTGACTGGATTTTGATGTCATTTTTTTGTATTTTATTTCGGACAGTTTATTTAGAAGCTGTAATCTATGTAAACATGGTTTTAATATAATGAGGTACTCTTTTCCTCCTTCCGCTAGTTGCCTCTTACACAAGAGCCAACTATGAGGGAGGTTTTTAATGAGACCTCCTATTCCTATCAAAAAATAATAATAACTCAACAACTATACATGGAGCATATCATACACTGTAAACCCACTCACCCCTTCCTCCCGCACAAAAAATAATAGTAATGAGAGAGAAGCATGTGAAGCTTACCTGCATGTCAACACACATTTTTCGTCCTACTAGGATTCAAACTCTCAAAAATAGGATAGAATTCTGCTAGGATTCAACTCCTAAAATAGGATAGAATTTTGCTATGTTTTAAATCCTAAAGATAGGATCCACAAGCACTATAAATAGCCATTGTAGCTCACTATTGTAACCACGATTGACAGACAGATTTACACACAAAACACAGAGGAAGCACGGAAAATGTAGCTCACTATTGTAACACACGATTGACAGACACGATTTACACACAAAACACAGAGGAAAGCACGGAAAATACAAAGACAAAGTTGTTGTAAACGATTCGAAAAGGAAATAAAAGGTAGCATCTTTTTTTACATTGGTTCGTTCATTTCTCGCATGTGCACGTTATTTTCTTGAGATTTGGTTCGAATAACCCAAAACGTGGGTTTGCCGTGACTAAAAAGGGGTGGGATTTCGAAGTTTCGAACCTAGATCCACCCCCGAGGCGTGTTCATTTTTTAAAATATTTAATTCTCCCCCTAAATCATTTTTTTCCTACTTTATTATTCTTGTTATATATACATATTACTTTCTATTAATTTTATTATATATGATATATGTTTTTTTATTAGTGTTATTATATATATATATATATTTATATTTCCTATTTTGCATGTATATACGTATATTACTTTTGATTTTCTTTTATATTATTATTATTTTACTTATATATATATGCTTTTACTTTTTTATATATTTTACTCATTTATTTATCTATTTTTATATTTATCCTATATTTTGTTTTATATCTTTTACTTGTTTTATTTATTATTTGCATTATCATTTTATTTTATTTAGTTGTTTGTTGTGCATATATTAGTGTTATTGTTTTTATTTTATATATTCTATTCATTTTATATTTACTTATTTCTTACTTAATCTCCTTATTTTATTTGTTTTACTTTATTTATCATTTATTCATCTCTTCTAACCCCTATTTGACTTTTAAAGGGTATATTTGTAAATCGTCAAATGTAAGTAATTTGGATCATTATTTTATCTTTTAATTTAACTTGTTATTTTTCTTAATTAAGACAACTGGAAATTACATAGTACCGAAAGGGCGGTTCAAGGGTGCTAATCCTTCCTTGACCGTAACCGACTCCCGAGCCCGACATATTTCTGGTAAGACAGATCATGTAGAAATAGGGTATCCGATCAACCCATTTATCTTTAAATAAATGATCGGTGGCGACTCCAATCCACATTTTTCAAGTCGAAGCCCAATTCCGGGGCCCAACCGAAAGACGGTTGCGACAGCTTGGCGACTCCGCTGGGGACTTTCAAGTGAGTCAGGCTAAGGTAATTTTCAGTTGTCTTTTTAACGAAAAGGGTAAGTTTAAATTTTAAGGTAACATTTCGATCCTTATTGCTTACTTTTGATTATATTTTTTTCGAGTAAATATTGTACTAACCGTTTTCTCAATGATTTCAACACTTAAAGTCTTTTTTCATCTAAGGCTCTATACCCGAGCTCCGAACCTATTTAAGTGGGGGTGAAAGCGACGCCTTCGTGTGAATTATTCACCGTGCGGGCCTAGCAAGTAGCCTTCGGGATTCATATACCTTATGTCTTCGTGTGAATTTATTCACCATACGGGCATAAGGGAATGTGTCCTCTCGAGTTTAACTTAGTCCACACAAGTCTGTGATGGGTTTAGGACTAAGGGTCTGGCAAGCCCAATGGGGCAACCCGAGAGACTTTGAAGAATTAGAGCCTACCCTAAAACCTCATTCCAAACCCTAGGATGCCGGAATTATTTCCTAGTTTACTTTATGTTCAAAGCATGCGAACTAGAAATTTATGCGGTTAGGACTTGTTCAAAATCAACTTGCGGGATAGAGATCATGTTCGGGTAGGAATAATAAGCATGTGAGGTAGATATCATGTGGGGTAGGACTTTCATTTTTATGATCATTTTTTTATTATTTTTCACCTCACTAACTCTTTTCATCTTTATTTTATTTTATTTTATTTTCATCACTTGCATCATTCAAAAGAGGTCATTGATCCACTAAAACGTGTTTGTTAAAACTCGAATAATCTGAATCCATGGACAAAGGTGTTGTAATACAAGAGATGAAAATACAGAGGAT